TCAAGTACTCCCTACCACCCCCTAATACCTTACCATCAAGTACTCCCTACCACCCCCTAATACCTTACCATCAAGTACTCCCTACGACCCCCTAATACCTTACCACCAAGTACTGCCTACCACCCCCTAATACCTTACCACCAAGTACTGCCTACTACCCCCTAATACCTTACCATCAAGTACTGCCTACCACCCCCTAATACCTTACCATCTAGTACTCCCTACCACCCCCTAATATCTTACCATCAAGTACTGTCTACCACCCCGTAATACCTTACCATCAAGTACTGCCTACTACCCCCTAATATCTTACCATCAGTACTGTCTGCCACCCCCTAATACCTTACCATCAAGTACTGCCTACCACACCCTAATACCTTACCATCAAGTACTCCCAACCACCCCTAATACCTTACATCAAAGTACTGCCTACGCCCCCTAACCTACTTTACCAATCAAGTATTCCCACACCCCCTATACCTTACAATCAAATCTGCTACCACCCCTTCAATATTACCTATCAAGTATTCCATACCACCCCAATACCTTTACCATCAACGTCACTCCCTACAACCCTAAATACCTTACCATCAAGTAACCCTACCACCCCCTAATACCATTACCATCAAGTACTCCTACGACCCTCCTAATCACCTTACCATCAAGTTAATGCCTTACCACCCCCTAATACCTTAATAAGTACTCCCTACCACCCCTAATTACCTTGCCATCAAGGTACCGGCCTACCACCCCCTAATACCTTACCATCAAGTACTCTCTACCACCCCCTAATACCTTACCATTACGTACTCCCTACTACACCCTAATACCTTACCATTAAGTACTCTCTACCACACCCTAATACCTTACCATCAAGTACTCTCTTCCACCCCCTAATACCTTACCATCAAGTACTCCCTACCAAACCCTAATATCTTACCATCAAGTACTGCCTACCACCCCCTAATACCTTACCATCAAGTACTCTCTACCACCCCCTAATACCTTACCATCAAGTACTGCCTACCACCCCCTAATATCTTACCATCAAGTACTGCCTACGACCCCCTAATACCTTACCATCAAGTACTCCCTACCACCCCTAATACCTTACCATCAAGTACTCCCTACTACACCCTAATACCTTACCATCTAGTACTGCCTACTACCCCCTAATACCTTACCATCAAGTACTCCCTACCACCCCCTACCTAATCCTTACCATCAAGTCACTGTCTACCACCCCTAATACCTTACCATCAAGTACTCCCTACCACCCTAATACACTTACATCAAGTACTCCCTACTACACCCCCTAATCCTTTTACAATCAAGTACTCCCTACTACACCCTAAATACCTTACCATCTTAGTACGCCTATACCCCTAATACCTTCATCAAGTATTCCTACCACCCCCTAATACCTTACATCAAGTTACTCGCCTACCACCCCTAATACCTTACCATCAAGTACTCCCTTACCACCCCTCTAATACCTTACCATCAGTACGCCATAAGCACACACCAACCCCCCTGATATCTTGACCACCAAGTACCTCCATACTACCCTAATAAACGTTACCATCAAGTACTCCCTACTACACCCTAATACCTTACCATTAAGTATTCCCTACCACCCCTGATATGCCTTGCCTTCAAGTACCCTAGGTCCCATATGATAACGTTCAGTATGTTACATAGTACTTCCATTGCGGCGTAAAAAAAACACAAAAAACACACAGTAAATCACCGCCCGGAGCGACAAAGAAGAGCGGGCAGTGACCGTGTTTTAGTGTGAGGGAGAAATGAATAATTAAAATTAGAGATAATAAAATTACAAACCCGCACGAAAATCAAAATCAAAAAAATCAATAGACGGGCATGCAGGCGTTGGTATTGAGTGCTAGCACTGTCGCTGACCCACCCTCCCCTCCTCCTCTTCCTTCCCTCCCTTTTCCCCCTCCTCCCCTCCCCCTCCATTTCTTCCTCCTCCTTCCCCTCCTCCCCTCCTCCTCCCTCTTCCACCTCTGACCCCTTCTCCCCTCTTTCCTCCCCTCCCTTCATCCCCCTCCTCCCTTCCTCCCCTTCTCCCCCTCCTCCGTCCCCATCCTCTCCTTTCTCCCCTCCCCCTTGCTCCCTTATTCTGCTTCCTCCCTCCTCCCTTCCTTCCTCTCCTGCTCCCTGCCTCCTTCCCCCCTCCTCCCCTTCTCCCCTCCTCCCTTCTTTCTCCCCTCCTCCCCGCCCCCCTCTCGCGCAGACACCGCGGCCGCGTTCGCCAGCGAGGCGCTATTAGCACGTCCGCCAGAGGGCGCAACGGTACCACCACCCGACGACGCATCGCCGCTTCCACCAGGTGGCGCTGCCGCAAAAGCGCAGAGAACCCACGACTGCAGAAACGTGGTAACTAAGGGGGCGCTGCCGCCAGAGTCGCATGGACTGCTGCAGCAGCGCGGTAACTAGGGGGCGCTGCCAGCACGTACCGCCGCCAGGGGGCGCGCGTGCGTCGTACTTACTCTCGTAGAGGCTGTTGAGTAGGTTGAAGGGCAAACAGAAGACGAGGACGAAGAGGTCGGCCATTGCGAGGTTCGAAAATGAACATGTTGGTTGTGAACGTTCCACATGTTCCTGCCGCCGCGACCACCGCCAGCACGAACGCGTTGCCGACGACGCCGACGACGAAGACGACGACGTAGGCCGACGCCAGCACGACCACCTCCCAGCCGCCCAGCTTCAGCTCGCTTGCTTGTACGGAATAAGTTCGACGGCGGCGGTGGCCGCGCCGCGTGCAGTTGCGCGTGCAGTTGTCGACGTCGCCGGTAGGTGGCGTTGAGGCGGCGAGCTGCGGTGCGTTCATGGTTGCCCGTGATTTGTTCGCTTCGTTTTTTTTTATCTTCTTCGAGTGAAGGTTGTTTCGCGACCGGTGGCGCCCTCACGCGGTGTCGGACGCCGTCACTGGCGAGTTTCCGCCGGCGAAGTGTTTCGATTTATTCACGCACCGGTGGCGCCACGCCGCAAGGCTCGCCGACGGCACGTGTTTTTCCTATCACTGTCGACATCGGGGAATTTCCGACGCGGATCGTCGGCGTTCAGCTCCCGCCCCACGGTGTCGTCACACGGGTCACGTGGGTCGTCGGTCGGGTTGTAGGTCAAGTCACAGACTCGCGCATGAGCGAATACACCTGTTAAGAGAGATAGAGAGAGAACATGGTGAACCTGTGAATGTACCTGAGGAAGAGAGAGAGAGCGTCAGAGGAAGTGCTGAGAGAGAGAGATGCGACGCGAAGCGAGAGAGACAGGTTGCGTAGAGAAAGAGAGAGAGGAGAGAAGAGAGAGAGAGAGAGAGGGGGCCGGGCGGGGGGGGGGGGAGGGGGCGCGGGGGAGGAGGCGGGAGGGGGAGCGGGGGGGGGGGGGGAGGAGAGGGCAGGGCGGGGGGGGGGGGGGGAGAGGAGATGGGAGGGAGAGGGGGGGAGACGAGAAGAAAAGAGGGAGGAGAGTGAGAGAGAGAAAGAGGCGAGGAGTGAGGGGGATGCGAAAGAGGAGAAGAGGAAGAGAGAGAAACGAAGAGGAGAGAAGAGAGAAAGAAAGGGGAGAGAGAGAGAGGTGAGAGAGCAGAAAGAGAGAGAGAGACCGCGCGCGCGAGCAAACAGACAGGGCGTAGAGAGATGAGTGCAGAGAGGGAGAAGAGAGAGAGAGAGAGAGACAGACATTAAGAGGAAAGAGAGTCGGCCACAGACAGATAGATAAATAGATAGATAAATAAATACAATAAGGATCAGAATGGGTAGATAGATAGGTAGGTAGGTAGGTAGTAGATAGAATAGCATAGATAGACAGATAGATAGATAGATTAGATAGATAGATAGATAGATAGATAGATAGATTAGGATAGATAGATTAGATAGATAGATAAGATAGATAAATAGATAGATAGATAGATAGATAGATAGCATTAGAGATAGATTAGATAGATAGATAGATAGATAGATAGATATTATAGATTACATTAGAATAGATAGATAGATAGATAGCATCGAAGTAGATAAGAGAGATAGATAAAATAAAGTAGATAGATAGATAGATAGATAACAGATAGATAGATTGCGTAGATGAATAGGATAGAATAGATAGATAGATAGATTAGATAGGTTAGATTAGATAGATAGATAGATAGATAGATAGATAGAATAGATTAGATAGACTAGCATAGATAAATAGATAGATAGATAGATAGATGATAGATAGATAGATAGATAGATAGATAGATAGATAGCATAGATAGATAGATAGATAGATAGATAGATAGATAGATAGATAGATTAATAGATAGATTAGATAGAATAGATAGATAGATAAACGACTACTGCTGTAGCTATTTGCATTATATCTTTTTATTTTATTTCCGTCTTATCCCCAACTCTCCTCTCTATCTTTTATACTTCCAACACACACGCACACACACGCACACACCAACGCACGCACATCACCGCGCGCACACACACACACAACACACACACACACACAACACACCACACACGCACACACACGCACGCACACTCACGCGCAACACCACAACACACACACACACACACACACAACAACACACACACATACACACAACACACACACACCACACACACAACACACACGCACACACACACACACGCACACACACGCACGCACACACACACACACACGCACACACACGCACACACGCACACGCACACACACACACACGCACGTACACACACACTCACACACGCGCACCCTCTTTCGTGTTCGTAAATTCAGCAGACGGTCGTTATCAGGTTACGCTTTGCTTCGCCTGCACTCTTTCATGTGCGAGAAATTTTCCATCAGCAATTAGAATTGACATTTGCCAACATTCCCTCTCTCATTATACGAAGTCTCTAATGCAGTATATATAGCCGGCAGACGAGAGAAATCACCCTTGCAAGCAACGTTAAGACCGTAATTAAATTTACACATACGGAGAGCAGAGAGGCAACAACTCTACTGTCGAATTATCCATCTCTTCTTTCTAACGCAAGTTCAGTTTTAACCGCTTTACGACCATCTCGTAAAAAAATGGCCGCCATGAAGGCCGCAGTAGAATACCCGATAAGCAAACGTTGATGTACGTTCTCATACGAAAGACTTGAAAATAGTACACACGGCTTCTCTGCTTAGCATTCAGCAAAATTAATAGAGCGAGAGAGTGTGGCAAGTTAACTCGCAGTGCTACCAGTGGACTAACCCCCTACTGTAGCATTTACTGTGAAAGCAGCTGCGGGACCTCATGGTTATTGAAACGGAGATATAGGCACCGCCCCATGCGCCTATGTTCCACATAGGTGCGGAAAGGATTTAACTTTAACTTTAAACATTGAAGCTGGGTTGTGTTATATACTGGCGGACATATTCCCTAATAGACGTGCGGTGATGTGTGATGAATGATGATGTCAGACTCCGTTAGCAGGTGTACGGCTCATAAGGGTGTGTTCATATTGCAGCTAAGAGAGCATGTCCAGCCTCCGACACAAGCCGCTATCCGATGAAACATTTCTAGAATATTAAACCGATCGTATAGCATATCATATCATGTACAATGCGTCTACGTTGAAATAAAACCCCGGACTATGTTAAACTGCTCATATGATGCATCACAAGGGCGAAAGAAAGATAGAGCCCGTATCTCGCACATCCCACGGCTATCTCTCCCTCTCTCTCTCTCGCGCACACACACACACGCGCGCATACACTCGCACGCACACACACACACACGCACGCACACACGCACGCACACACGCACGCACACGCACACACGCACACACACACACGCACGCACACACACACACACGCACGACACACACACACACCACGCACAACACGCGCCACACAACGCACGCAGCACACACGCACGCATATACACACACATCCCAGCGCCAAGACATACGCCGCGCAGCACACACACGCGCGCGCAAACACACGCCACAACGGCGCACAGCCACAACACACCCGCTGCGCAACACACACATACACACGCCAACACGACACACACACACGCACACGCACACACGCACACACGCACCACACACACACACATATAATATATATATATATATATATATATATATATATATATATATATAAACACTAGGTTAAACGAGGCGAAACGAATGTAAGAACTTTTTGAGATAAATAAACAAATAAATGAGTAAATAAATGAATGAATGATTAAATAAAGGAATTGAATGAACTAAATAAATACATAAATAAATAAATAAATAAACAAATAAAAATAAATAAATAATAAATTAAATAAAGTAGAATAAATAAATAAATAAATATAAATAAATAAATGAAAAATACATTAATGAATGAGCGAACGAAACGAACGAACGAAACGAAAGACGAACGAACGAACGAACGAACGACGAACGAACGAACGAACGAAGCGAACGAAACGAACGAACGAACGAGAACGAACGAACGAACGAACGAACGAACGAACGAACGAACGAACGAACGAACGAACGAGCGAACGAACGAACGAAAGCATAACTCATATGCTAACATCTTGAATTCGTGTCCGCCCACCTCTCCCTCTCTCTACTCTTGGCTTCTTTGGGGCACGAAACACCGCGGGTTTTTCACGCTCACGCACATAATGCATTCGATTCCCCTCAGAAGCTTTTACGTGTGGGTTTTCTGCTGCTTCCGGTCACATAAATTATCCGACAACGCTAAATCACCTTTTTCCAAAACCGTTTCACTTCGCAGAGGCAGGATTTTCGCGGAGAAATCTACGTATCCATGATCCAGACGTCCTCCATTGAATGCTGCGAATTTTCACATATGCACAGTTTAATAGTTACTTGTATTGTGTACGGGGCAATATCCCTCCTCCATTCCACATTTCTCATATTAGCTGTACCCGGATCACACATTGACAGCTAGACAACATATCTATATATATATATATCTGCGATCTCTGTCCGTCCGTCTGTCTGTCTGTCTGTGGAGTGGACAAGCATATTGGGTATATGGGTATTTTGTTAGTGCCTTAACTCTTCTATGCAATCTGACTGTGCCAGGTTAGAATGAATTCACAATAACACAGACATTTCGGATTTTGGATTTTGGATTTTCCATTTTTGGCCTTTTTTTGGATTTATACGCAAATATCATGTCTGTCTTATCTCAATTCATTCCTAACCTGGCACAGTCACATTGCATACAACAGTTCAATCACGATGGGCATATAGAGCGCAGGGTCCACAGAGAGAGGGAGGGAGGGAGAGAGATCGCAGATATATATCCAAAATCAAAAAAAAACAAAAACAATAAAAAAAAAACAAAAAAACCCAAAAAATCCAAAAAAAAAACAAAATCCAAAAAAACCAAAAAAAACAACAGAAAAATACAAAAAATCCTAAAATCCAAAAACCCCCCAAAAAATACAAAAAAATACAAAAACCAACAAAAATCAAACAATCCAAAAATCCAAAAATCCAAGTCAATTCAACTGAAAATCAATTCCCCCATCATGGCCCTTCATCGTGGCTGCCACGGAGTGGCTGTTGGCTCTCTAGTATATATATATATATTCGCTAATTATATATATATATTAGTACTATTGTGTGTGTGTGTGTGTGTGTGTGTGTGTGTGTGTGTGTGTGTGTGTG